TATTTTAAAAAAAGAACTTATAAATTGAAAGTGAATGCATAATTTATATGACTAGTAAGAATTTGACCTGCAGAAACAAGGAAAGTAGTATTTATTTTGTATGACAGTCCTACAGGTAGGTAGAGATATTCTCATTTTATTTATTTAAACAATTTTTTAAAAAGATTTTATTTATTGTTAGAGAGAGGGTGCACAAGCAGAGGAAGCAACAGGCAGAGGGAGAAGTAGGCTCCCCACTGAGCAGAGAGCCCCACTTGGGCTTAACCAACTGAGCCACCCAGGTGTCTCATATTCTTATTTTATAGATGGGAAAAATGAGGCTCACAGTGGTTAAGGTACTTGCCTTAGGTCACATTAGTAAAAATGATGTCACATGGATCCAGTCTTACAGTCTTTCTACTGTTTATTTACTACTTTTCTCCAGTTTCTGGAGAATCCAATGCAGGAGTCCCCAGCTTTTTTTTTTTTTTTTTAAATTGAAGAAGCTGTGTGTGCATGTATGTATGTGTGTACATGCACATTCCTTGGAAGAGGAGATGCATGTCTTTGGAAAAGATGTCTGTCTTTCGGGAATGTGCTCATCTGTCAGCGGAGATATTTATCAGGTTACCTTTCCAAATCAACAGGCACATTGTGTGTGGGGTACCTCTGTATGTGGGGCTCTATATCGATTTACTGTGTGAGGGTGAGATTGTTAGTGTGCCAGTACTTCACATCTTTGTGTGTATGTTAGCATGGGGTAGGGGGCTAGAAAGGGTATTGCTATATTTGCTATATAGAATATTCCCTGGGGATCATAGAAAGTTGAGATTATTGACAGAAAAGATCCTGGACAAAGGCCCTGAAGAGAATACAGCCATGTAAGCCAGGTGTAGAGTTCTCATTTATTGTTTAATCACATAGCTTGCTGGCTGGAATAGTAATTTTAATGCAGGTGAAACAAATAGAACTAGCAGAACAAATAAAAAAATGCTTTGTGAATTCAGCTAAATCTTTCTCTTTTAAAATACGAAACCAATGGGTGCTTTTAAAATGCTTATGGATTTGCTATTATTTTTCTGAAGTGATTTTTGGAAGGAAAAGAGTGGTCTAGGCATTTTATTCAATCTTATTTTTGTTTTGTTTTTCATTTTTTAATTTGAATTCAATTAATTTACATATGGAGTGTTACTAGTTTCAGAGGTGTAGAGTTCAGTGGTTCACCAGTCTTATGTAACACCCAGTGCTCATTACATTGTGCCCTCCTTAATGTCCATGTTCAATCTTATTTTAAAAAACCCACTTATTATTTCTATTTAATGATTTAACATATTTATTGAGCACCTCCTATGTACCAGGCATTGTTTTAAGGATATAATAGTAAACAGAACAGGAAAAATGCCTCTCTAATGGAGTTTGCATTCTAGTGGGGGGAGGCAACAATAAATAAATATTAATGCCAAAAAAGTTGGAAAGATAGGGTAGGTATTGTTGAGGGGATCTTCCAGTATTTTAGTATCAAGTATTTAGTGTTTGTCAATGTTGTCAAAATGTTTTCAGAGATTCATACCTTTATCTTTGTGCCTTGGTGTCCTTATTAAGTTAATGTAGCCACATTCAAATCATATCAGTTATTCTGAAAGAAGAGAATCAGTTGTGCATGTCCAGTAAGTTAGTGATGAAATTGAGAGGAATCTTATTTCCATTTTTATACAGTCACTTTTTGTTTATTCATCACTGCTGATCTAATTAGGGGCTAGTTCAGACTCTTAATTTTCCCCATTGCTGCTACTACGGCTCATCCACTCCACTGGCTTTTATAACATGGTCCTAACGATCAGGGCATTTGTATTCAGGGACCCTGGTAAACTATTCTGTAAGTAAATTTGAAAACAAATGACCTAAATGAGTTTTGAGGTAAATTTTGATTGAGTAGTTTATGACCTTGAAGAATTGCATAATAATTCATTCCTACTTGTATAGATCAATGGGGGAATAGAAAAATATACCACTTTGCAGTTATTATGCTTCTACATATAGGGTTTTCAAAAATTCTAAGATCCGTGTGTGGATATTTTTGTTTTACTTAGGAGTATGATTTGTGGTAAGATGCTGTTATTCTTTGAAACAAATGAATCCTATGTGCTAAGAATTGTAGATACCAGGGATACAACATTGGATAAAGCAAGTTCCTTCTCTTACAGATCTTGCTTCATTCAAGTTGGGAGGGATTCAGGTAATTAACAAGTAAATATATATAGCCTTGAGGAATGAGTGAGGAAAATATGGCATTGAGGAAAATCAGATTCAGTAGAATAGGGAGTGCTGGTTGTGGAGAGGGCTCTGTTTTACATAGGGAAGTCAGTAAAGGTTTTATTGTTTGGGGATAGTTAAACAGAAACATGAAACAAGGAAATGAGTTGTAAATGTCTGGGGAAAGAACACTTCCTGTTTGTTCATATCATTACCAAAGTTGAGACCAGTTTTTTGGAGAGATTAGGAGAGAAGAGTATGGATCCTGTAGGATTTTATAGGTCACTTAAAGGACCTTGATATTAATCTGAACGGAAGGGGAAGCCATCAAAAAGTTAGGGAACAGAAGAGTAACATGATTTCAGTTAGGTTTTTGTAAGATCTGTAAAGATGTGTAAAGCACCCACATAAGGGGAATAAGGGCAGAAGCATGGAGACTAGTTAGGAGGCTCATGTATTAAAACAGGTGTAAGTTGATGGTGACTTGGGCCAGAGTGGTGAGAAGTGGTTGGATTTTGGATATATGTTGAAAGGAAATCTGACAGAATTTGCTGATACTATCTGGGACACGAAAGAGAGCAATTTTTTTGGCTTGAGTAATTGAAAAGATTGACTTACTATTGATAAGATGGGGAATATTGTGGATTACGTTTGGTCATGTGAGAAAAGCAGATGTTCGGTTGGAAATGTCAAGTGTGAGATACCTGTTAATGTATCAAATTGGAAATATTTGAGTAATTTTCTGGTTAGTTGACCCTGGCATTTTGGGAAGAGGTTGTGGATGATTACTGAGGAAAGATTTAAACCTAATTAGTGATAGAGTTTGATGATTTACTTAAAAATGGATGATGATATTTATTACTATCATGTCTTAGAATGCTCCAAATGTATTTAAAAACAGTGGTTCCTCTTCTTTTTATTTTAATTTTAAGAATTTGGCCTATAGCAAGAAAAAGGGGTAAAACATTTGATTGTAATAGTTTAGGGGATTGTCTTAGTTTTTAGGCCTGTGATAAGTCTGAAGAAATAGGAAACATAGGTCAAGAGCTATTTAAAAAATGCCAGAAAAATTACAGCTCCTAAACATTGTTTTTTTGTTTGTTTGTTTGTTTTTAAGGATTAGTCTTATCTTTTTCTTTTCTTAATTAGGAAGTGGTGAGAAAAAAAACCTAGATTGGAGTAGAACTAAAATATTACTGTATAAAAAATGAATGTTGTTGATTCATTTTCCAAGGTTTATTTTTGAATTATGAGTGACAGTATTTTTCATTTGTTCATTTAAACTAAAATTTACATTTATTTAGGGTCTTTGACATTTCTTATGCTTTTTTATTTTCTAGTAACTAGAGAAGAAATTAATTTTGGTGTAATTTGGTATATTACTAAAGGTGTGTACTTCATATTTAAACACAGCTTAAGCTACTGTAATGAAAGTAACAGTTCTCCATAGCCATTTAAAAAAAAAGCCCTTCTAACTGATCATATCTAATTTTAATTTTCCTTCAATTGAATTTGATAGAAAAATGAATAAAGGTTAAAAAAAGGCAATCTCAAAAAAAAATATGTATAATGTGAGAACACACTAAAGAAAGCACTATGGTACCTTTTTTCTGACCCTCTTTGGTTGACATGTGATACAGTGTCTTATTTTCTCAGTAGAAACAAGTACCCCATCTATCATTTTGTTGTTGGATTTAATAATTACTATTGTTACTTATATCTAAGGTAATTATGTCCTTTATTTGAGAAGATTATTGTTTGAAGTCTGCAGTTTATAAGATCTTGGTTTTAGTATTGTGTAGTTTTATTTAAAGAAAATTTTTTTAAGATTTTGGTTTATTTATTTGTCAAAGAGAGAGTGAGAGTGAGAGAGCACAAGCAGGGGGAGCGGCAGGCAGAGGGAGAGGGAGAAGCAGGCTTCCCGCTGAGCAGGGAGCCCAATGTGGGACTCAATCCCAGGACCCTGGGATCATGACCTGAGCCAAAGGCAGATGCTTAACCAACTGAGCCACCCACGCATACCGTAGTATTGTGTAGTTTTAAAAAATAAACTAGTATTTATGAAAAATCTTTGTTTCTGTGATACAAAAATTTAAATACTAATGTGATGTTTAAATGCATCATACTTTGAACATTTTGCTATTCATATACTTTATTATAAATTTATTATTAGGATAAAGTTTTACTTTTGGTCTGTAAAGGCCACTTTGCTGTTTTTAGCATAAAATCTTTAAATTCTGTTAAACACCCAGAATTTAGAAATCCAGGTTGTTTTAGAATGCTAAACTGGAATACTACAGTAACATCAGCTTTTTTCTTTCTTTTGCTAGTGTTTTGTATATTTTTAAAATATATTTATAGGGACCCCTGGGTGGCTGAGTTGGTTAAGTGTCTGCCTTTGATGCAGGTCATGATCCCAGGGTCCTGGGATCGAGTCCCACATTGGGCTCCTTGCTCAGCGGGGAGTCTGCTTCTCCCTCTGCCTACCACTCCCCCCCCCGCTTATGCTCTCTCTTTGACAAAAAAATAAAATCTTAAAAAAAGAAAAAGAAACTTAAAAAAATAAAATAAAATATATTTATATATTTTGTATATTTATGTTATATATATTAAATAAATTATATTTTTAAGTTTTTGAAATTCTCTTGATCATAGAATTATGTTTTAAAATAGTTACTTTAGCTGTGAGAAAAAATTTGACTAAAAACTTCAAGTTTTTAAAAAAGTTGACTAAAAACTTTTTTTTTTTTTGTAATTGGTATCTTTAGATCCAAAGGCGGAAACCAGATTATACATCACAGTCAATGACTTTGAATTTCATGTCTATAATCGTTCGGATCTTTATGGACGTCTTCAAGAATTGTTTGGTTTGGAACCAACAATAATTCCACCCAAGAAAGATGATGATAAAACACGGGAAAATGGAAGAACAAGAACCCAGTCCAAAATTGAGAGGTTCATAGTCACACTTGAATTTTATTAATCTCTAACATTTAACATTCACTTTTATTAGAATATCGCCGATGCTACTCACCTAAACACAGCCTAGTCTTTCTTTGTAGTTTGACTAAAACTTACATTCACATAAATTATATAATTCCTTTATAATACAGAATTATATAATGTAAAAAGCAGTCTTGTTCTGCTTACTAGTTCTACTTACCTCCATATTGATAACTACTATTGTCTATTTGTGTTTTTTCCTTTTGAGTGCATGTACATAAATATATATATACATATATACATAGTTAAGATACAAATACATGATTTTGTTTTATTTGTTTCTGGGCTCTCTACGTTGTTTCTGTTACATTGACTTATGTATCTATTTTTTCACCAGTACCTCACTATCTTGATTACTGTAGTTTTACAGTAAGTCTTGTAGTCAGGCAGTGTCAGTCCTCCAACTTTGTTGTTTTCCTTCAGTGGTATGTTGGCTATTCTGGGTCTTTTGCTTCTCCATATATACTTTGGAATCAATTTGTCAATATTCACAAAACAACTTGTTGGGATTTCAGTTTGGATTATATTGAATCTATAGATCAAGTTAGGAAAAACTTAACATCTTAATCATATTGAATCTTCGTATCAGTGACATGAAATATCTCTCAATTTATTTGATTGCTTGCTATCTTTCATCACAATTTTATACTTTTCCTTATGTAGATCTTCTATATATATTGTTAAATTTATATCTAAGTATTTCATTTTTATGGTGCTAATGTAAATGGTATTGTGGTTTTAATTTCAAATTTCACTTGTTCGTTGCTGGTATTTGGGAAAGTGATTGTTGTTTATTATTCATCTTGAATCCCACAACCTTGTTATAATCACTTATTGGTTCCAGGAGTTTTGTCAGTTCTTCCAGATTGTCTACACAGATGATTGTGTCATCTGCAAACAAAGAAAGTCTTATTTCTTTCTTTCCCACCTTAATCCACTCTAGCCTCAGTAAACAACTTCTTTGTTGTATATGATGTTTCTTCTCTATGGAAGACTCATCTTCTTTGCCTAACTCATTCGCCCTTCAGGTCTCCCTGATCCTTCTATGTGTGCCCACAGAATTCTATTCTTTTTCCTAAGGTAACACTTCTTGCACTAAAATTGCCTATTGTAACTATTCTTACTGCCATTCTAGGGTACAGATTCCCTCAAAACAGAACAGTTATCATATTCTCAGTATCCCCAATACCTCAGCTTGGTGCCTTGGACATAATATCCATGAAGTATTTAGTTGGGAATAAATGTCCTCATCATCTACTTAAAAAACTATTAGGTAAACAAGGCTAGTTCAACATTCAAAAATCAATTAACATGCTAAAAATGAAAAACCAAATGATCATATCAATAGATGCAGAATAAGTATTTGACAAAATCCAACACTCATTCATGATTAAAATCTCACAGTAAACTAGGAATAAAGGAGAACTTCTTTGACTTGATAAAGAATATCTACAGAAACCCTATGGTTAACAGTATACTTAATGGTGAGAAAATAGAAGCTTTCTCACTAAGATCAGGTACAAAGCAAGGATGTCCCCTTAAACCACTCCTTCTCAACTTTGTACTGGAAGTACTACCTACTGCCATAACACAAAAGGAAATAAAAGTTATACAGTTTGAGGAAGAAGAAAGATGTGACAATTCGGGGAAGAGATGATCATCAATTGGGTTGGTAACAAGGAGAAGGGAGAGAAGTGGATGGATTCTAGATATACTTAGGCAAATGAATCCATAAGACAGTGATAGATTAGGTGTGGAGAATGAGTAAGAAGGATGAGTTAATAATGAATCCAGTTTCTAATTTAATTAGTGGTCATGCTCATGGAACCTCAGAGAAAGAGCAGGTTAGAGGGGAGATAGTGAGGTCAGTTTCAAATTTAGTTTTAAGCACTGAGGGCTACCTTAGTGGAGATGGCCTCAGAAATAAGATTTAGGAGTTACTGGGTTATTGAAGAGTTATGCCTTGAGTTCTCAACTGAAATCATTAGTGACTTGCTGTGAAATTTTCATATCTTAAATTTTGTGTACATTGTATGTGGCCAATTTCTTTTTTTCTTATTCTTGGCCTATCATTTTCATTTTACCGAGAGGAAATTACTCTGTCACAAAGTGATAGGGATAAGGAAGGGAAAGGATCAGCTGAGTTGTCAAAAGTGCTTAAAACAGTAGAAAATATCAATGTGACTTGTACCTTGGTTATTTGTTATTTTAGTAATTTAGGTTGTCTTATAGAATGTCATAGTGAATATAATGATATATGTAATGACAGCATATCATAATTTATACTTTTGTCATTAAAAGTTATTACTCTAAAAACATAATTTTGTTATTATACCTTGCCAATCTAAAAATTGATATATGATAGAGTGCCTTCCAAGAGATATTTGAGAGATACTAGTATTCTGTTAGATGTTGTCATTATTTGTTTACTGGAGCAATCGCTAGATGTATTTGGAAAGTTACAGCTGGTATTACTGTGTATTATGAAGAAGTCAGCTGTGTTCTCAGCTATTTAAGCTTTTCTTATGTATGTCTATTTCTATTTTTATTTTTATTTTTCTCAGAGTTAAAGTAAAAACAGAATCTCAAGACCCGACATCTTCATGGAGATCACTTATTCCAGTCATAAAGGTCAATGTGAGCACAGTAAGTAAATTCTGCTGCAATTAATGTTTGGTGGGTTAATAATGAAACTCTTATTTTTGCAAATAAAATTTTCACTTAAGAAAGTAATTTTGGGGTTCCAAAGTTCATAAAAGTGTGAAAGAATTATTTCAACGCCAATACCATCTTAGCACACATTTATTAGGTCTTTTTTTTTTTTTTAAAGATTTTATTTATTTATTTGACACAGAGAGAGAGACAGCGAGAGAGGGAACACAAGCAGGGGGAGTGGGAGAGGGAGAAGCAGGCTTCCTGCCGAGCAGGGAGCCCGATGTGGGGCTCGATCCCAGGACCCTGGGATCATGACCTGAGCCGAAGGCAGATGCTTAACGACTGAGCCACCCAGGTGCCCCCATTTATTAGGTCTTAAGGGCTACTTTATTCACAAGTACTTAGATTTCTTTAAACACTGGTCTAAATTTATCAGTGGAGTAATTTGGATAGTGTATAGTGCTAAAGTGGAATCATTTAGTTGTTGCTTGAAAATTTTGTTATTAGGTCAACTAAGGAAAAATATATGGTCTGTATATTACAGCATAATTTCTCTTATCTATCTTTTAGGGACGTTTGGCCTTTGGAAATCATTACCAACCTCAAACTCTATGTATCAACTTTGATGATGCTTTCTTAACTTATACTACAAAACCACCTTCTAGTCATCTTGACCAATTCATGCATATTGTGAAAGGGAAGCTTGAAAATGTTCGAGTAATGCTTGTTCCTAGTCCAAGATATGTTGGTCTTCAAAATGATGAGTAAGATAGTCTTATAAATTGTCTTTCTCTGATTGACTTATTTCACTTAGCATAATTCCCTCCAGTTCCATCCATGTCAATACAAATGGTAGGTATTCATCCTTTCTGAAGGCTAAGTAACATTCCATCGTATGTATGAACCACATCTTC